TCGGCACGACATATATATATATATATTATCAATTGTAGTAGAAGCAGTATTATGGTATTCATAGAAGTAGTATTACTGTCACAGGAGTAGCAACAGTAGTGGAGTAATAGTAATGGTAGAATAATAGTCATTACAGCAGTAGTAGTAATAATAACAGTAGTAGTGGTAACAGAAGAAGTAAAAGTAGTAATTTGGTGGTAGTATAGTGGTTTTAGTGGTAGTAGTAGTAGGATAGAACAGTAGTACCAATAGTAGCAGTGATAGTAGTAGCAGTAATAACAGTAATACAAGATAGTAGCAGCAACAGAAAAAGTAGTAGTAGGAGTTGTTCTTGTAGCAGATGTAGTAGTATATTCACCAGAGAGCACTAAACCAGGAGCTATCATATATATCACCTGGGAAATGGAAGGTAATCAGATCAGATCCAAGGAAAGGGAGTGTAGCTCCAATTCTTTGGAACAAGAGCCTCGCACCAGCAACAAGGCACCTCCTTCACTGAAGGGTAATAAAGAGAAATATAGCTTATCTTATCTTCAGACCATCATATAAACACTGTCTTTAACTGCGTCCCAACACCTCACTCATGGATGATAATAATAACAGTAATTTCATTTTTCAACAAGATACACTTGATATCAAGATTTCTTATAAGGAAAAGAATATATTCATACAGTATACATTAGTAGACATATCATACAGAATAACCACTGATCAAGAGCCCATTACTGGTATCATGGTACCTTCTTTATAGGGTAACAATTAAGTGATTGTGAGGGACATCAAGGCACCTTTAGAGGAGTAACTCAGTAATCACTCACCAAGAGCCCATAACTAGCATCAAGTCACTTTTAAAGGAAGAATAACTCAGTAACACCGGAATCAAGAGCCCATAACAAGCATCAAGCACCTTTAAAGGGAGAAGTAACTAGTAATCACTGATCAAGAGCCCATAACTAGCATCAAGGCACCTTTAATGGAGGAATTACTCAGTAACAGCTGATCAAGAGACCATAACTAGCATCAAGGTACCTTCTTTAAAGGGTAACAATTGATAAGTGATTGTGGCTGAACATCAAGGCACCTTTAAAGGAGTAACTCAGTAACCACTGATCAAGAGCCCATAACTAGCATCAAGGCATTTTAAAGGAAGAATAACTCAGTAACAACTGAATCAAGAGCCCATAACTAGCATCAAGGCACCTTTAAAGGGAGGAATTACTCAGTAACCACTGATCAAGAGCCCATGACTGGCACTAAAGCACCTCTTTAAATGGAGTAACTCAATAACCAATGATCAAGAGCCCATAACTAGCATCAAGACACATTTCAAGGGAGGAGTAACTCAGTAACCGCTGACCAAGAACCCATAACTGGCATCAAGACACTCCTTAAAGCGAGGAATGAATAACAATTAATCAAGGGCCCATGACTGGCATCAAGGTACCTCCCTTGAAGAGTGGAGTGACTAGAATAATCATTTAAACCTCTCGTGAGGGCCACCTGCCGCCCACTCACCTAGATCATCCATTTTTTTGGCCCTGACACTCGCGTTGCCTCCACCTCTGCTCCTCTATACTCCACTAACTGCTTCTCTACGTCCCAGCGCCACTTATCTTATATCGCGATAAGTTATCTATTACAATCTATACTATCAGGAAGATCATGTACTTAAAAGGAATGATACGTCAAGCCAAATATGGCGGAGAACTGGAACGATGCCAAATAAATCTTCCCAGAAATATTAAAATACACACTTCTAGGGATATTTAGATAGAAAAGAATAACTTATTCTGCTCTACTGTTTTTATATGGATGTGGTTTAAGTAATAAAAGTAAAGAATAACGTTATATGAGCGAATACATGTGGTTTGCGCTTGTCGTACTTCTGCTACTGTCATGGCGGTGTAAACAAAGTTATTTTCACAGTTGCTAAAGTGGCCTAAAAAAAATCAGGAATTTTTGGCGAATTCACATTTCTATTTTAGGTATATAGAGATAATCTACTACAATACAGCCTTATATTATCATACTAATTATAAAATACAACTTTAAAAGGCTTGAATTTATATTAATGCCAGCTTAAATTTTCAGCGAAAAAAAAAATACCAATATAATAAAAATATCTTCATTTACTATATGGTATACAGGTCAGTTTTGTCCCAGGATGCGACCCACACCAGTCCACTGACACCCAGGTACCCATTTTACATTAATGGGTGAACAGTGACCACTGGTGTAAGCAAACACGTCCGATGTTTCCATCCCTTCGCCGGGAATCGAACCCGGACCTCACCCTGTGAAGCGAGAGCTTATGCCACGAGGCAGTATACAAGTGATATAGTTTACATGTAACAGAACATATTTAGACACAAAAGAAGGCAATAGTTCAATTTATTGTTTATAAAAGTTTAATACACTAAAGAGACTTCAGGAACAAGTTTTAGTTATTGGGCGATGTTTTCTTATATCTGTTAATTTACTCATGTTACTCTTTGCCATCTGTTGTTATATTTATTATTATTATTATTATTATTATTATTATTATTATTATTATTATTATTATACTAATAAATAATAATTATTATTGTTTTACTATTATTATTACTATTATAATTATATTAGTATTGCTATTATTATTATAACTTATTAAGTAGTAAGTTTATTCAGGTATACACAAATACAGTTACATAGAATTATCATACATAGCAGCATATGTGTAGAGAACCTGGGATAACCCAAAAAAGTCAGACTGAGTGACTTATTTCCATTGGGGTCCTTTTACCTTATTATTATAATATAAAGGTTATAATATTTTCTTATTATTCTATAATGAAGATAACATCTTATTATTATACTAAAAAGACTATCTACTACACGAGGGTCATTAAGACTATCTACAATACGAGGGTCATTACTAGGAATAAGGTAAAATTACACGTATGTTAGCCACATGTCTATGGTGCATCCAACAAAATAAGCAGACTCTTGGATGTCACTACCGCCCGGCTCCGGCTGGGTTACAAGTATCTTTGGCAGGTTAAATCACCACCACCAGATGTAGACCAAACGAAATGTAAACTTTGCCAGATGGATTATTGTCACACCCTGCGTCATTATGTACTGGAGTGCGATAAAATTAATGAATTTAGAAACAACTCACTCAGAAGTGTTCAAGAAATGGCTAAGTATTTTATCCACAGTGGTATATTACAGACCATTCTGGAGAAATACCCTGACTTTGCTAGCTGTAAATAAAGCATTACCACATGTGTGCATGTTGTGTGTGTGTGTGTGTGGTGTGTGTGTGTGTGTGTGTGTGTGTGTGAGTATGAGTGTGTGTGTGTATGAGTGTGAGTGTGTGTATGAGTGTGTGTGAGTATGAGTGTGTGTGCGTGTGTGTATGAGTTTGTGTGTGTGTGTGTGTGTGTGTGTTTATGTGTGTGTGTGTATGAATTTGTATGTGTGTGTGTGTGTGTGTGTGTGTGTGTGAGAGAGGAGAGGACTCAGCAATCAACATTTGCACCAATAACTCACTACAGTTGTGACCGGGTGTGGAAGTGTGAATTGCTCATTACTCTAAAATTTGTTCATGATTGCAGCCATGTATAAACGTAAGTAACCATTCTTACAGTATTCATTACCTTTGTAACTTGTGAGTTTCATTACCTTTGTAACTTGTGAGTTCATTACCTTGTACCTAGTTCAGCCATCAAAACTTTGGAGCCCGGTCCCTGGACCCATTGTGTACCTCTGTAATCTGTAAATACCTTTGTAACTTGTAATGATTGTGACTAGACCTACCTGGAGTTCATTACCTTTGTAAATTGTGAGTTCATTACCTTTGTAAATTGTGAGTTCATTGCCTCTGTAGCTTGCTCAGCTATCAAAACTTTGAGGCCCAGTCCCTGGACCCATTATGTACCTCTGTAATCTTTTGACTACCGCCCACAGGATGGGTATGGGGTGCATAATAAACATATTAAACTAACTAACTAACTAACTAACTGTTAGCTAAAAAATAGAAAATCATTCCTCTCCCTTTCTGTAGCTATATTCATCAGACACCTTTTGGCACTCTTCTTGAACTGGTTCATGCTATGACTGGCTCTGACATGTAAGTAAGTAAGTGGGCAGTCTGTTCCATTCCTTTACCCGCACATGTCAGAGCCAGTCATAGCATGAACCAGTTCAAGAAGAGTGCCAAAAGGTGTCTGATGAATATAGCTACAGAAAGGGAGAGGAATGATTTTCTATTTTTTAGCTAACATACGTGTAATTTTACCTTATTCCTAGTAATGACCCTCGTATTGTAGATAGTCTTAATGACCCTCGTGTAGTAGATAGTCTTTTTAGTATAATAATAAGATGTTATCTTCATTATAGAATAATAAGAAAATATTATAACCTTTATATTATAATAATAAGGTAAAAGGACCCCAGTGGAAATAAGTCACTCAGTCTGACTTTTTTGGGTTATCCCAGGTTCTCTACACATATGCTGCTATGTATGATAATTCTATGTAACTGTATTTGTGTATACCTGAATAAACTTACTTACTTAATAAGTTATAATAATAATAGCAATACTAATATAATTATAATAGAATAATAATAGTAAAACAATAATTATTAAATTATTATTTATTAGTATAATAATAATAATAATAATAATTATTATTAATATTAATATTACTATTACTATTATTAGTAGTAGTAGTATTAGTATCAGTATTATTATCGTTATATTTAATTACATTGTTCATAATAACATCTTACAAGGTCATAGTAATCCATTATAACGCCATACTATAATTATCATCATATTCACGGAGAAGCTCTGAACCCATAAGGATTATACAGCGCCTGAGAAAATGGATCAATGAGGTTTGATTCGAGGAAATGGAAGACTCTCCAACTCCTCGGATCTAAAGCCCTTCAACAGCATCAATATAGATGACGTCATTGACTCGGTGAAAATACCTCACTTGGTAAACAGTAGTTAGTGGACCCGAGAAAAAGCCCGTTATTGTTGATTTAATTAAATAGGGAATGAATGGAGGTAAGTAAGTTTATTTAGGCATAAGTACATATAAGTATAATTATCATACATGGTGTAAATTACCTAGGATAGTCCAGAGAAGTAAATAGACTTATTTCCATTGGGGTGTCTGACTCTAACGGGGTTTAGGCAAGGGATCTACCTGAACTAATTAGGAACTCGTTGCTCCCGTTTCTTTCTTTTGCAGAGAAAACTTTATTTCCTTCGTAATTCTCTTCCATTTCTTGGCCAACATATATTTTTTGCGGACTTACTGGCGGTGGCCCGGTGGCCTGGTGGCTAAAGCTCCCGCTTCACATACGGAGGGCCCGGGTTCGATTCCCGGCGGGTGGAAACATTTCGACACGTTTCCTTACACCTGTTGTCCTGTTCACCTAGCAGCAAATAGGTACCTGGGTGTTAGTCGACTGGTGTGGGTCGCATCCTGGGGGACAAGATTAAGGACCCCAATGGAAATAAGTTAGACAGTCCTCGATGACGCACTGACTTTCTTGGGTTATCCTGGGTGGCTAACCCTCCGGGGTTAAAAATCCGAACGAAATCTTATCTCTTACTGACTGACACCCGGGAAGCAAATCTCAATAGAGTGTAAGCTTTGTCGACCCTTAACAACCTGAATAACAACAACACTGCTGCTCAGCAGACGTTGTTATGGCTGTCAATAGTAAGTACTTTGATTTACTGCCCCATTCAAGGGGGAAGCCTTGATTCTGTTGAAAGACTTTTGATCCAGGGGAATAGAAGCTACTCTTCCCTTCCTTGGATCAAACTTAATTCCCGCATATTACCCCCGGTGGCCTGGTAGGCAGCGCTCTTGCTTCACACCTGAGTGTTTGTGGTTCGATCCCCGGTGAGCGTGTTTCCCTACACCTGTTGTCCTTGTTCACCTAGCAAGTGAGTAGGTACCCGGGTGTTAGAGGACTGGTGTGGGTCACATCCTGGGGGACAAGATTGAGGACTACAATGGAAATAAGACACAGTCCCTCAAAGACAAACTGATTTTCTTGGGTTATCCTGGGTTGCTAACCCTCTGAGGTTAAAAATACGAACAAAATCTTATCTCTCTTATCACTTTGACTTTTTTTTTTCTGGAATGGGGGGGATATTCTAGGTAATTTACACATGTTACTATATATGATAATTGTAACTACATCTGCCACTTCTCCAACCACAACATCAACTTATCCAGGTAATCTTATAACCTAGACCATGATGGGTTTCACGCTTATTTTTGAGAGTAATAATGATAATAACCTTCTAGTGTCATCATTAGAAATTATCTGATGGCCTGTTTTAGTTTCATTGGCAACCTCAGCTCTGTCAGATCTAAATCTTTAAATTCCATGCATGATGTACTACCTTTAAAAGCATTCATTCCCTACATATAATAAGTTAAAAAAATTTGTCAATAGATATAATAATGGATGTACGGTTTCTCCACCTGCTAAGCACAAGACTCCCCTCTGTCTCAGCAAAGCTTCCCTCCTCCTCATTATTATATAAATGAAATAACATTCCATTGATGTAGGTGATGACACTGTTAAAATACCATTATGATATGTAAACTTTGCATGTGCAGAGTGATAACTACATTGTTTGCATAGTTTCAGATGAAACGGTTCAAATCTTTGAACTCAAGGATGCTCGGTCAGTGCCAGATCCTGTTCATCCATATGATGCAAGTTACCGAGGATTACCTCTCATAATTGACAATGGTAAGTTAACACCTTTGAACTTCATTTTTATATTTTATATATTATATACTACTTTTAATTCAGAGAATGGGCAAGATCTGAAACTTTGACAGATGATCATTTACAGTTGTGTATGTTACAATTTTTGCAAATCATTATTTTAAAATTGTGTGACTTTTTTTCTAGTCACGCTCTGCTATAGAGATGTAAATTGAGAAAAAGTAGAGTTGAAGGGATACAAGGAATTTTTTCTTCATGAGCAGTGGTAGATTAACAGAATGAATTACAAGAGGATGTAGTAGGTGCTTTAGCCATTGGGAATTTTTAAAAATTGTACGATTAACAAATTATCGAAGACAGGACACCATGAGCATAGCTCTGCTTCTATAGCTACAAATAGGTAATTGCACTACCTAAGACTTAGAGTAGCATTCATTCTCTTTAGATTCAAGTACAGTACGTGATTGTTACATGCAAGAAAATGGGTTATCTTGCTCCAGGTAGTTTATTTTTTAACCTACTCTCCTGAGGTGATTGGAGAGAAAATTTACAGATTTAAGAACTGATACAATTATAAGAGTATAAGAATACAGTGCATAGTGTACTTCTTCAGCATCCATGAGGATGTATTCTTACAGAAGCTTGTGGATGGTGAATTTGCAGATATACCTGGTACATATAACATAATTTTCAGTAGGAAATTAGGGGTGCATTCTGGACCCTCATGGCCCTTGTATCCAGACATAGTATTAGTTTAAAATTCTGTGATTTCTGTCTTCTTTTGTGTGTGTATATATGTGTACTATGTGGTTGTGGGGGTTGAGTCTTAGCTCCTGGTCCTTCCTTTCATCTTGCAGCTTTCCAGATTTCCTCCCTTCTAGCCTTATGGGCCCTATCAAATCTGCTCTTAAAGCTATGTATGGAATTGCCTTCACCACTTTTTGGGTTGAGGTCGTTCCACTTCCTGACTACCCTGAAACTGAAACTGAAGAAATGCTTCCTGACCCCTGTGATTCATCAATGTCTTTAGGTTCCAGATGTGCCCCTAAGTTCCTGTTTCCTGCCGCTCAAACAGCCTGCTCCTATCTGACATCAATTCCTCTTGAGTATTTTGTATGGTGTCATCATGTGTTCCCTGGTCTTTCCATGGAAACATAAAGGGGAATGTACCAGATTATAGTGGTACCAACATTGTTGTAATGATGTGAAGCATAAATTTTGAATGTTGCTGCAAGAGGAGGCTGGAGGCAGTAGAGATGTCATGTTTGAAGGCAATGTATGGTGTGAATATTATGCAAAGAATTCAGAGTTTTGGGATTAGAAGGTGTTGAGTTACCAAAAGTATTACATGTATTCAGAGAGCTGTGGAGAAACTGCTGAGATGGTTTGGACATTTAGAGAGGATGGAGGAAAATAGGATTTAAATCTGGAGTGGAAGGATGGAAGGGAGGGGATCATCCTAGGAAAGGTTTGAGGAAGGGGGGGATAAGGAAGTTTTGAGCGTCAGGGGCTTGAGCATCTAACAGGCTTGTGTGAGCATGTTAGACAGAAGTAGGTGGAGGCAAATGGTTTTTATTATTTGACATGCAGTTGGAGTTTGAACAAGGTAACATTTAAAAAGGGGTTCAGAGAAACTAGTTAGATGGACCTGAGTTCTGATGGTGGAAAATACAGTGCCTGCACTCTGGAGGAGGAATGGGGATGTTGTGTTTCAAAGGTCATCTGAACTGTGATGTCGGTGCCCTCCTTGCAAGACAGTGATTGAATACCAATGAGAGTGTTTTCTTCTTTGTCCGGGTTTCCCTACATCGGTGGGAAATGGCCGGAATGTTAAAAAAAATTAATTCAGTTTTTAAAAGCTTTTTCTTTCAGGGTCACATCACTGCCGTGTAGGCTGGGCAACTGATGATGAGCCAAGAATTTTGTTTCGAAACTGCTATGCAAAACACAGAAAAGACAGAGGGAAAAAAATTGCAGCGGTAATCCTAACATTGTTTTGTAATAGAGTATAGTACTGTAATAATGTTGGTAGAATTACCGACAATATGTAAAGTAGTAAAAGGACACAAGTGCAACTAATGTGACATTTTTATTGTGGCAACGTTTCGCTCTCCAGGAGTTTTGTCGAGCCGTTTCAAACAGTACATAGACACAGAGGGTATATATATAGGCTCAGAGTGAGGTGTGATACTAGTGGTGGTAGTAGTAGTAGTAGTAGTGATATAAGTTCTAGTAGTCGTACTGTAGTAGTAATACAATATGGTAGAACAATTAACTTGCACATGTTCTACCATATTGTAGCTGTATAGTCCTTGTGGCTTAGCGCTTCTTTTTGATTATAATAATAATACCATATTGTATTACTACTACTAATACTACTACTAGAACTTATATCACTACTACTACTACTACTACCACTACTACTACCACTAGTATTGCATCTCACTCTGAGCCTATATATACCCTCTGTGTCCATGTACTGTTTGTAATGGCTTGACAAAGCTCCTGGAGAGCGAAACGTTGCCACAATAAAAATATCACATTAGTTGCACTTGTGTCCTTTTATTTTACTGAGTACAGTACTGTTATAAAGCAGTCAGTTGTAACAGATTGGCAATACCATATATACAATACTTTATTAAGTGGGTTGAGAGTTTTGTTTCCAGATATTATTATGTACTTGTTTGTTACTTTTATTTAAAATTATTAATAAACATAGCACATGAGTAAACCTTTTGTATACAGTTATGGGCTACAGGATTTTAAGGGTAACTTAAAGAATGAAATACTGTCTAATGGGGTTTAATTTATATTAACTGTGTTGTAAAGGATTGACCATCTGTATTCAAGTGTATTTTGGTTATCTTATTCTTCCTAGCTTCTACTCTCTTAAACTGCACACTTTAGGGTTTAGCACTTTCCTATGAAAATAACAATAAGAATAATTTACTCAGGCCCATGATAATTGATGATGCTTTTTGTGTTTGTATTTTCCATTAGAGTAATGAATCAAGGCACTTTGATGTTGAAGACTTGAAAAAGAATTACAAAAAAAAAAAAAGGGATTTGGGCCATGTATGTGCTGTTTTTAAAAGTTGCAATATTGTTTTTAATTATGTGGCTGTGATTGGATATTTTCCTGGCACTATTAAAAGTAAATACCATGTATTTCAGGCTAATTTTATACGCAGTACGACTTGTTACTTTATTTAGTTATATACTCAAGATAAGTCATAATAAACGACTGTTAATCAATAAAAAGAATTAACGGGCACTTGACTCTCATCCATTCTTCTATTTATGGAGTTATACTCCACAATCAGTAACTCCATTTCTACTTTAGTGGTTTGAGAGAGACATAGTCATGCATAAAAGTTGGTTGCTTAGCATGATAAATTATAAGTTTGCTCACTGATAATTTTATTTCAGGAAACTGAAATCTTAGTTGCAAACGATATTGGAAATATTGAGGCCGTCAGATTCCAGTTGAAGTCCCCTCATGACGAGAATGTTGTTACACACTTCGAAGCTCAAGAAACAATGTTTGACTATACGTTCTCTCATTTGGGCATCAACACTCCTCAGGTGGACCATCCAATAATCCTGACAGAGGCATTCTGCAATCCAAACTACTCAAGGCAGTGTCAGTTTCATGTTTCTTTCATTACTCACATTCTTCTGCTCTCATTTAACAAATTTTTCCAAAGTCTAAAAATAGTAGAGTATATTGTATACATTTTTGCTGATCTTTCTCTAATATAAGCTTAACTGTCAAAGCCATGGATAAGATAAGATGAGATTTTGTTTGAATTTTTAACCCGGAGGGTTAGCCACCCAGGATAACCCAATAAAGTTAGTGTTATTTGGGGACGGTCTGTCTTATTTTTATTGGGGTCCTTTAATCTTGTCCCCCAGGGTGCAACCCACAGCAATATGTGATGAGTAGGTTTTAATTATGTGTTAAATGCACACTGAAAAGATGTTTGAAATGCAAGGGTATGCACCATATAGCTTCGTGCCCAAGCACTTGTGTTGACCAACAGCTGACTTCCACAGAAACCGAAAGTCACTCAACAATAACACTTAACACAAGGGATAAGTCTAAATCGACTGCTCTCCCAATAGCTCGAATTGAGCTATCTAATAAATTACACAAGACAAATGTGCTAATACTATTTGACCAAGGCTCACGAAGGTCCTTTATAAGAATCTGGAAACTCACAAACCCAGCAACTGCATATGGACCTCACACTGTTGTGACCCATGAAACCCACAGCATCAACAACAATGACGATATCTGCTACAAATGGCAGTGACTGTTCCCGGCTTTTCTCTTATGAGGTTCAAATGTATTTTTCAACTTTTTTCTTGAGATTTTTTATTACTTTTGTGCCATAAGGATGATTTTTTTTTTTACTTTTTTTTTCATACATAAGAAAATATGTCCTTATGTGACAGAAAAGGATAGCTCATACTTTGTGTTTGAGGTACCATGAATTTTACAAATTTACATTTTTTGGAGGTTTAATTTTACTAAAAGAAACTGTAAATGCTATACATCATTTATTAAAATATTTACTATTCTGTCAGGGTGTATTAAATTGAATCAACATATTTTGTTCACAGTAATGTCAGAGCTTCTGTTTGAGTGTTATGGGGTCCCAAGTGTGTCTTACTGTGTTGATGGTCTGTTGAGTTATCACAGAAATAACCCAAAGAAGCATGATGGACTCCTCGTCAACATTGGCAATTGTACAACACATGTGATACCAATCTTGGATGGCTATGCTGATGCTGCAAGCTCACGTAGAATAAGAATGGGAGGTCTTCACTTAACAAAATTCTTGTGGAGATGGCTGCAGCTGAGGTTCCCATTGCACCTCAATGCTATTACTATATCAAGAGCAGAGGTAACTGAACTTCATCAAAATGAAAATTGTGCAACTGTGCATTTGTGGCTTCAATCGCATCATAAAAATATATGATTTACATTAAAATGCATGTTTTTTCTACTAATGTAGCTTTTTTTTTTTATATGTTCACAGGAGATTCTTCATAACCACATGTACATTGCTGAGGATTACATGTCAGCAATATCTAAATGGTCAGATGTAAGTTACTATGAAAAATATGTTAGAAGAATTCAGCTTCCTTTTGTGGCTGCACCAGTCAGCACAGTGTCGGTGGAACAACAACGAGAGCGACGCAAAGAGGCAGCAAGGAGACTGGTCGAGTTAAATGCCAAGAAGAGAGAGGAAAAGGCAAGCCACAAATGAAGTGTAAATATTTAGCCCTTAAACTGTGGGGAAACACAAAAAAAAAAAGTGCTGTGTGTGCACATGCACATATGTGTGTGTGTGTACACCTGCAAATGCATGTTCACATGTGTGCATATGTGCATGTATAGAGGAGGGGAAAAATTTTGAAAAAAAAAAAAAAATAGTTTCTCGAAGTAGAATAAAACAGTAATAACGAAATTAGATAAAAACTTGCAACAAATTGTGCTAAGCAGTACAATGTTCATTTTTCTATTTATTTATGTCAAATTATGATGGCTTTGATATTTTAAAATTTTTTTTTTATTATTATGTAACAATATGTACAATAGTCCTTGGTAGTAGGTTGGTAGACAGCAACCACCCAGGGAGGTACTACCATCCTGCCAAGTGAGTGTAAAACGAAAGCCTGTAATTGTTTTACATGATAGTAGGATTGCTCGTATCGTTTTTTTCTGTCTCATAAACATGCAGGATTTCAAGTACACACATCTTGCTACTTAGGTCACATTACACATGCATGTACAAGCATATATATACATACTCCTCTGGGTTTTCTTCTATTTTCTTACTAGGTCTTGTTCTTGTTTATTTCCTTTTATCTCCATGGGGAAGTGGAACAGAATTCTTCCTCCGTAAGCTGTGCGTGTCGTAAGAGGCGACTAAAATGCTGGGAGCAAAGGGGTAATAACCTATTCTCCTGTATATATTACTAAAGTTAAAAAGAGAAACTTTTGTTTTTCTTTTTGGGTCACCCGTCACCCTGCTTCAGTGGGATATGGCTGTTTTTTGAAAGAATGTACAATAGTTTCTTATGATATTAGATGTGTTTCAAGGTGTTATAGAAATCAAAACATGGGGAGATGTATATCCCAGTAGCCCCTGTATGAAATATACAATATAGATATTGAAACAAATAATTGTTTTTCTTATTTCTTTGGATTGCTTTTGTCTTCTAACACTGTGTTTAAGAAAGTCTTATAAATTTACTATGGATTAAGAGTGTGATACCTTGAACACATGGAAATAAGACACATTGTTTAACTTTCTTGGGTTATCCTGGGTTTGAAAATATACATATTGTACTTTGTAATGTACTTTTCATGCACCCATGTTTACCCTGAAGACAATCGTAAAAAATCATATGTAGCTATGTACACAAGCCTAAATAAAAACAAACCTACATAGATGCAGAGTAGCATATCACACATGTTTTTGACATGCTCTGCCGAGTCATGGCTGCCTTGGTTGCAATGTATGGACCTGCCTGGTCCTACATTTTTTCTAGGTGTGAAAAAATGGTAAGACACTTGAGCCAAGACATAAAATGTCAGCTGGCATCAAATTTGAAGGCACAAAAATTATTTTTGTGGCATTTATGGATTTGGAAAAGGCATATTACAGGGTGGATAGGGGGGCAGTGTGACAGATGTTGCAGGTGTATAGTATAGGAGGTAGATTGCTGAAAGCAGTGAAGAGTTTTTACGAGGATAGTGGGGCTCAGGTTAGAGTACGTAAGAGAGAGGGAGATTATTTCCCAGTAAAAGTAGGCCTTAGACAAGGATGTGTGATGTCACTGTGGTTGTTCAATATATTTATAGATGGGGTTGTAAGAGAAGTGAATGCTAGGGTCTTGGCAAGAGGTGTGGAGTTAAAAGATAAAGAATCAAACACAAAGTGGGAGTTGTCACAGTTGCTCTTTGCTGATGACACTGTGCTTTTGGGAGATTCTGAAGAGAAGTTGCAGAGGTTGGTGGATGAATTTGGTAGGGTATGTAAAAGAAGAAAATTAAAAGTGAATATAGGAAAGAGTAAGGTTATGAGGATAAAAAGATTAGGTGACGAGAGATTGGATATCAGATTGGAGGGAGAGAGTATGGAGGAGGTGAATGTATTCAGATATTTAGGAGTGGACATGTCAGCAGATGGGTTTATGAAGGATGAGTGGAATCATAGAATTGATGAGGGGAAGAGGGTGAGTGGTGCACTTAGGAGTCTGTGGAGACAAAGAACTTTGTCCGTGGAAGCAAGCAAAGAGGGGAATGTATGAGAGTATAGCTGTACCAACACTCTTGTATGGGTGTGAAGCATGGGTGATGAATTATGCAATGAGGAGAAGGCTGGAGGCAGTGGAGATGCCATGTCCGAGGGCAATGTGTGGTGTGAATATAATGCAGAGAATTCGTAGTTTGGAAATTAGGAGAAGGTGTGGGATTACCAAAACTATTATCCAGAGGGCTGAGGAGGGGTTGTTGAGGTGATTCAAACATGTAGAGAGAACGGAACGAAACATAATGACTTCAAGAGTGTATAAATCTGTAGTGGAGGGAAGGCGGGGTAGGGGTCGGCCTAGGAAAGGTTGGAGGGAGGGGGTAAAGGAGGTTTTGTGTGCGAGGGGCTTGGACTTCCAGCAAGCGTGCATGAGCATATTTGATAGGAGTGAATGGAGAAAAATGGTTTTTAATACTTGACGTGCTGTTGGAGTGTGAGCAAAGTAACATTTATGAAGGGATTCAGGGAAACTGGCAGACCGGACTTGAGTCCTGGAGATGGGAAGTACAGTGTTTACACTCTGAAGGAGGGGTGTTAATGTTGCAGTTTTATAACTGTAGTGTAAAGCACCCCTCTGGCAAGACAGTGATGGAGTGAATGATGATGAAAATTTTTCTTTTTTGGGCCACCCTGCCTTGATGGGAATTGGCTGATGTGTTAATAAAAAAAATAAAAATTATTTGCAAATTTATGGTAGTCAGAGAAAGATCTGCCTGCATTAATGTCCTGGAGACACAGTTTAAGGGTTAATTGTAGTTGTATTTATTCTGTATTTTATTCTGCATTCATTATAAGATTTCTACTTATTATATTAAAAACTATTAAGTGTAGTCTTCATAAGTTTTCCATCCTAACACAATAATGGGGTTTGGTAGACAGCAACCACCCATAACATTGTTACCATCTTGTCATTTGTATGTGAAACAGAAACTTATTAAGTGTTTTGCACTTTCTTGATAGTTGTGACAGAACCCACGGGCACAACTCCAGACACAAACATCTCTATGACATTCCCCATGTCCGACTAAACCTTTACAAAAATTCAATGTATGTCAAAGGCCCTAAAATCTGGAACACCCTACCTGAAAATTCTAAAACTGCAGACACATTCATCACCTTCAAAACTACCATCAGAAAACATCTTATCTCCCTGATACACCCTGTCAACTAATTACACAAATACCACCTGGTGGTTAACACTTACACTCACTCACCCATTTGACCATAAACAGAAATATCAGTCTCAATCTCAAAATAATGAATCTTAACTAGTCATAAGTTGGCCTGTGATACTCCAATACTGAAACTATGTATAGTGCCAAAACAAAAGCATTCACATTGCTAAACTCACAAACTAGTATTTAGTCACTTAGCCACAATACCAACTTACCTCGAACATTAAAATGGTATAAAATACCGACAGGTTGTTAGGTAAGACACATATGCAACAGTTAGGTATCTTTATTTCGAAAATAAAGATACCTAACTGTTGCATATGTGTCTTACCTAACACCAACTTACCTCATAATTTTGTAATATTTTAAACTTAAGATTTAATCTAAGTCTGCCCGAAATGCCTAGCCATGCTAGGTGTTCTAGTGGTACACTCTGTAATTATTATTTTACTACATGTAAACCACACAATAACCAAATTCTGTAAACTCAGCATTGTAATCCTTATAGAGAATAAACTTTGAATTGTGTTTCATGAACATGTAATTTGGCAGCAAATCTTAAAAATTTTTGCTTATATTGTTATGTATATATACTTTACTCTCTGTGTTTCTTAATACTAGTTTCTTTTCCTGTAATACAGTAGGACCCCCATATCCATGGATTCAATTTCCGCTGTTTCGGCTATCCACAGTTTATCGTGGCTTGAAAATAACCCTTAATTTTGCTTAATAATGCCCCCAAAGCACAAAAGTATTGATGCTGGCAGTTCTTCAAAGCCTAAGAAAAGCTGTAAAGCACTTCCCATCAGTGAAAAAGTAATAATTCTCGACTTATTGTGCGTAATTTATCAATTAAACTTTATCATAGGTATGTATGTGAAAGAAAAGCAATTTTTATATAGAGTTTGCTACTATCCATGGTTTAGGGTATCTATGGTAGTTTCTTGGAACATATTCCCCGTGGATATGGGGAAAATACTGTATTTCCTTACTATTGAGGGAGCATACTCTGAGACCAGACCATGGGGACAGTAGTCCCCAGAACCACTGTCAAGAAACCCCTTATGCATTCCATTATGTATATTTAAACCTGTTTCTTTTGTCCAATGCCTTTTATTTTGTGTTTAACTTTGTTTTACTTTCCTTTGATTTGTTTTATTTGTAATCACTCATTCTCTCCACATTCCTAACCATCTTAAATACTTCAGATTTTTATTATTTTTATGACCTTATTCTTTCGTGCTCTCATTCTTCGCTATAAGTTGGGTGTCCCTTAACCAAAATTTTGAAATTCAAAAATCTCCGAATTCCAAAATTTTTTTCTTGCACCAACATGACCCCACAAATGGAAAATTTTATTCAGCTCTTGGAAGTTCCCAGGCATTGTGCAGGTCTGTGTTCTTTACTCAATCTGATTACTGTGTGTTTTGTGCTTCTTCTCTGGCTGATGGTGTGAAGATATTGTTGAAAATGTTGAAAAGGCCTGCAGGAAACCCCTTGGGTAAAAGTGAGAAGAAAAAAATACAATGTAAGTAGCCCATTAATCAATACATGGCATCATAGGTAGAGACTGAAAGCTTGCCACTGTTTGTTATTGTTTAACAGCTGATGCAGGTATTCTGACGATGCCACTGTGCTGCTTTTGTTATTAAAAATATTGTGCGTATAAAACTACTTTCAGGCTATGTGTATAAGCTGTACAGTATATTAAATATAAATGAATTTCATGTTTAGACTTAGGTTTCATCCCCAAGCTATCTCATTATATTCCAAAATTTGAAAAATTCCGAAATTCAAGACACTTCCGGCCCCAAGCATTTTGGATAAGGGATACTCAGCCTATATATCTACTCTTCTCATCTCACGTTCAATCCTAAAGAAAAAAATTGCTGTTTTTGCTGCAGTTTCATGATGTATCACATCCCATACATCAGAGAAAAATGAAGCAAGTCCTGAAGTTGACTTTTATGTAATATTGGACTCATTCTCATCCTTCATACTGTTTCTCATGACTTAATATACTAGCATATATTTCTCTATCACTTCTGTAAGTATATATTTCAAATGCTGTACTCTACTGAACATCTTACCATCTAACTATACTTATATACAGTCTTACCTCTTCTTCCCAAAACAACTCACACCATACAATTATTTGGCATGTACCTTCAGACTTTTCTCATGAATTATTGCATTTTCTCTTAAATTTTTGTTAAATATTTTACACTTCTCTTTCTTCTTAGATAAAGCTTTTGCAAAGATTTACCCAGTTAATTATGGTTTATATTAGTGTTTCAGTGTTGTCTTACCCTCTGCTGCATGTCAGTGACTATGACAACCAATTATAATCCTTTGCAATTATAATCCTTCTCACTTTACATTATTCATGAAATAATGTAACATGAAAATGTTTGGGTTTATGTACAGTTTCTTAAGATGAAAAGTATTTTGTTAATTCTAATTACACTAAAAAGTCAGCATTGGATATGCATTTATTTAAGATTCCTTCAATTTAGCTAATAGAGGATGAAGCAGAGCTAACTCGCCTAATAGAGTTAGTGGAGGCCATGGAAGAGTTCACACCAGATGAGCCCGAGTATCAGCATGCTCTGGAGGAAGCAGAAGTTACATCGCCAGATGACCTCACCAAAAAGATCACTCTTCTCCACCAGAAGATTGAGAAGACTCGTCAGAAGATGTTGCAGGCGACATCTGCTGCTACTGAGGAGGAGGTGCGTAGTAGCAGTTGATTAAGAGTGGCAAAGGTTGAGAGAAGTCTCCTTGGTAGGAGATGACCATTGAGTTTGAATTTGAATTTGAGGTAATAAAAAAAAATGCTTGTGGACAAGTGCTAGATCCATAGGGACCATACATTGCCTAGGGAATAGAAGTTAATCAGATTTGATCTATAGGAAGGGATCAAGAGCACTTCAATAGTATCAGGGCATCTGTCTTCCTTGAAAGGAAAGAGGGTAGATTATAAATGTTGCTAAAGCTACAATAAATGTAATGAGTCTTCACAATGAAATTTAAAAATAAGCAATTTTAATTCATATGTTTATTCAAAGATATAATTCATTTGTTTATTCAAAGATATAATTCATACAAAAGAGGATTTAATGTTATATGTTAAAATTTGAATTTAGGAAGAGCTTGAGATTGCATGGGATGAACAAAAAAACTTCAAGTATAACATGGCATAACATTCTAAAGTATATTATGGCATAACATTCTAAAATAACCATGCCACATATAAAGTAAATAATGTAAATCTTAACATTATAGATTGGGAAAAGGATTTAGGAGTTCTGGTTAGTAGTAATCTAAAACCAAAACAACAGTGCATTAGTGTTTGCAATAAAGCTAACAGAATCCTTGGCTTCATAGCAAGAAGTATAAATAATAGAAGTTCTCAGGTTGTTCTTCAACTCTATATATCTTTGGTTAGGCCTCATTTAGATTATGCTGCACAGTTTTGGTCACCATATTACAGAATGGATATAAATGCACTGGAAAACGTACAAAGAAGAATGACAAAGTTGATCCCATGTCAGAAATCTTCCCTATGAGGATAGACTGAGGGCCCTGAACCTGTACTCTCTAGACAGATGTAGAATTAGGGGGCTATATGATTGAGGTGTATAAGTGGAAAACAGGAATTAGTAAAGGGGATGTAAATAGTGTGCTAAAAATATCTAACATAGACAGGACTCGCAACAGTGGCTTTAAATTGGAAAAATTCAGATTCATGAAGGATATGGGAAAGTTTGGTAATAGAGTTGTAGATGAGTGGAACAAACTCCCGAGTACCGTCATAGACGCTAAGACGTTGTGTAGTTTTAAAAATAAGTTGGATAAATACACGAGTGGGTGTGGGTGGATGTGAGTTGGACCTGACTACCTTGTGCTACTAGGTCAGATGCACTGCTCCTCCCTTAAGTGACGTGTCTGACCTCACTAGGTCAAGGCATTGGCTTAAGCCGGTGGGAGAATTGGAGCTGCCTCGCATAGGCTAGTAGGCCTGTTGCAGTGTTCCTTCCGTCCTTATGTTCTTATGTTCAAACCATTCTAATTAAACCTTACAGAATTGTAAATGGCAAATTTCAAGTTTTGCATTTTGTCTATAAGCACAAAATCTGTGATCTTGACCAAAATTCTCCTTTTAAAATTTTTTTTTTTTTTTTTTTCAACAAGTCGGCCGTCTCCCACCGAGGCAGGGTGACCCAAAAAAGAAAGAAAATCCCCAAAAAGAAAATACTTTCATCATCATTCAACACTTTCACCACACTCGCACATTATCACTGTTTTTGCAGAGGTGCTCAGAATACAACAGTTTAGAAGCATACACATATAAAGATACACAACATATCCCTCCAAACTGCCAATATCCCAAACCCCTCCTTTAAAGTGCAGGCATTGTACTTCCCATTTCCAGGACTCAAGTCCGACTATATGAAAATAACCGGTTTCCCTGAATCCCTTCACTAAATATTACCCTGCTCACACTCCAACAGATCGTCAGGTCCCAAGTACCATTCGTCTCCATTCACTCCTATCTAACACGCTCACGCACACTTGCTGGAAGTCCAAGCCCCTTGCCCACAAAACCTCCTTTACCCCCTCTCTCCAACCCTTTCGAGGACGACCCCTACCCCGCCTTCCTTCCCCTATAGATTTATATGCTTTTCCTCGAAATTTGGAGGTCTCGGAGCTCTAGAAGAATGCTGACTAGTTAAAAATAATCTGTTAGCTTTCTTCATGAGATGGTATCTCTCTGAAATTATGAATAACCTTCATTGTGAGGCCCTTATTGGGTCTTTAAAGCTGTTTCTCATTCTAACTAGTGGGATAGAAATGGAACCTACAACTTTTGTGATACAAATCTTAAGTGAATAAAACAGGTCTTATTTATAATTCTGGCAGTGTAAGCTTCATAAATAAATGCTCATGTTTATCAAAGAATACCATGGATGTTACAAATATTGGAAAAGCTATAAAATCTAGTTTACCAGTTTCAAATTATAAAATGTCTTGTTTTAGGAACCCAAACCAAAGAGAGTGTGTGAAGACATAAGCCCTAAGAAGAAGGCTGACCTAGAGCAATGGGTTGAGGAAGTAAAACAGCAGTGGAGGGACATTCAGGCACGCCGGGCAGCCAGGAGACACAAAAGGTAAGTTACAGTGTACAAACAAGCAAACTTTATAAAGTGGAATACAGTATATTATACAATTAAGATGATTAATATATATAACTACGATATAGAAAGCCCCATATTAAGGAAAGCATTATGCAGCCTTAAAATTAAATAATGATTACAAGTATATGAGAATAAGTACAGTGTGACATTTGTAAAGACTGAGAATTCATACAGATTTTTGCTATGCTGTACCCTAATACATAATTCCACATACTGGATCTAATTGAATCATATTAAATCTGATGGGGCTCAAAACACGATGATGACTATGCTACTGTATTTTACTTTTTTGGTGATACTGTGCTTATGGGTGATTCTAAAGAAAAGTTGCAAAGGTTAGTGGATGAGTTTGGGAGGGTGTGTAAAGGTAGAAAGTTGAAAGTGAACATAGATAAGAGTAAGGTGATGAGGGTATCAAATGATTTAGAGTATGGAAGAAGTGAATGTTTTCAGATATTTGGGAGATGAAGTGTCAGCGGATGGGTTTATGAAGGGTGAGGTTAACCATAGAATTGATGAGGGAAAAAAGGTGAGTGGTGCATTGAGGTATATGTGGAGACAAAAAACGTTATCAATAGAGGCAAAGAAGGGAATGTATGAAAGTATAGTGGTACCAACACTCTTATATGGGTGTGAAGCTTGGGTTGTAAATGCTGCAGTGAGGAGGTGGTTAGAGGCAGTGGAGATGTCCTGTCTAAGGGCAGTGTTTGGTGTAAATATTATGCAGAGAATTCGAAGTGTGGAAATTAGAAGAAGGTGTGGAGTTAGTAAAATATTAGTAGGAGGGCTGAAGAGGGGTTGTTGAGGTGGTTTGGTCATTTAGAGAGAATGGATCAAAGTAGAATGACATGGAGAGCGTATAAATCTGTAGGAGAAGGAAGGCGGGGTAGGGGTCGTCCTCAAAAGGGTTGGAGGGAGGGAGTAAAAGAGGTTTTGTGGGCGAGGGGCTTGGACTTCCAGGAAGCGTGGATGAGCATGTGAGATAGGAGTGAATGGAGATGAATAGTTTTTAGGACCTGACGAGCTGTTGGAGTGTGAGTAGGGTAATATTTAGTGAAGGGATTCAGGGAAACCAATTATTTTTATATAGCCGGGACTTGAGTTCTGGAAATGGGAAGTACAATGCCTGCACCTTAAAGGAGGGGTTTGGGATATTGGCAGTTTGGTGGGATGTGTAATAGGACAGTATTTATATAATTGGGTCCCTGAAATTGTAATTATTTCAGGTCACTTTTTATATTGTATCTTTATATATGCCTCTAAACTGTTGTATCTGGGCACCTCTGCAAAAACAGTGATTATGTATGAGTGAGGTGAGTGTTGAATGGTGATGAAAGTATTTTCGTTTTGGGGATTTTCTTTCTTTTTGGGTCACCCTGCCTAGGTGGGAGACGGCCGACTTGTTGAAAAAAAAAAAATTAACTCTTTATTGTCAGTCACCAACATTTTCAATAATAGTAGGAATACAGCTAGAATATTTTGACAATTTTCTTCTTCTTCTTTTTAGTAATTATTACAGGATTAGGGGTTACTAGCCCATTGTTCCCGGCATTTTAGTTGACTTTTACAACACGCATGGCTTACGGAGGAAAGATTCTTATTCCACTTCCCCATGGATATAAAAGGAAAAGTAATAAGACCAAGAACTATTAAGATAAAATCAAAGAAAACTCAGATGAGTGTGTATAAATAAATGTGTACATGTATGTGTAGTGTGACCTAAGTGTAAGTAGAAGCAGCAAGACATACCTGCAGTCTTGCATATTTATGAGACAGACAAAAGACACCAGCAATCCTACCATCATGTAAAACAGTTACAGGCTTTCGTTTCACACTCACTTGGCAGGACGGTAGTACCCCCCCCCCCTGGGTGGTTGCTGTCTACCAGCCTATATGCTTCTAAACTGTTGTGTTCTGGGCACCTCTGCAAAAACAGTGATTATGTGTGAGTGAAGTGAAAGTGTTGAATGATGATGAAAGTATTTTATTTTTGGGGATTTTCTTTCTTTTTGGGTCACCCTGCCCCGGTGGGAGACGGCCGACTTGTTAAAAAAAAAAAAACAGCTAGAATAGATACTTTCTTTCAACGCACCAGCCGTATCCCACTGAGGTGGGGTGGCCCATAAGGAAAAACAAAAGTTTCTCCTTTTAAATTTAGTAATATATACAGGAGAAGGGGTTACTAGCCCCTTGCTCCCAGCATTTTGTTGCCTCTTACGACACGCATGGCTTACGGAGGAAGAATTCTGTTCTACTTCCCCGTGGAGATAAGAGGAAATAAACAAGAACGAGAACTAGAAAGAAAATAGAAGAAAACCCAGAGGGGTATGTATATATATGTTTGTACATGTATGTGTAGTGTGACCTAAGTGTAAGTAGAAGTAGCAAGATGTACCTGAAATCTTGCATGTTTATGAGACAGAAAAAGGGACACCAGCAATTCTACCATCATGTAAAACAATTACAGACTCTCATTTTACACTCACTTGGCAGGACAGTAGTACCTCCCTGGGCAGCTGCTGTCTACCAACCTACTACCTACAAGGAATAGATACATTACTGTTAAAAGAAAGGAAACGTGTAATTAGTGCAATTACGATAATTTACGATACTGAACTTTTGAGGATTCTGGATATTAATACATTCTCTTCTAACATTTTCCTGTATGCAGGTGTTTTATATAATTTAAGTATACAGTGGACCCCCGCTTTACGATCAGCTCCCAATGCGTCCAATTATGTAAGTGTATTTATGTAAGTGTGTTTGTACGTGTATGTTTGGGGGTCTGAAATGGACTAATATAATTCACAATATTCCTTATGGGAACAAATTCGTTCAGTACCGGCACCTGAACATACTTCCGGAATGAAATAATATCTTAAACCTGGGGTCCACTGTATTTATAAGTTACAGATAGGGTGGAAAACATTAATTGGGTAACAAAAACACTGTTTAGTGGACATGAGTTGCTCTTGCTTACCAAGAATGGTTGGAGACTGGAGAATGGACGCATCAGTTGTGGCCCAGTGAGTGGTGTGAATATCTACGGAGGGTATTACCCAAATCTCACACGTTACTTACCAGTAATTTTTCTTTTTTTATTTATGCTATGCAATTTTGAATGCACTTTTTGAATTGCATTTGTGCAATATTGCAGTGTTGCTGTATAAGAATGTTTACTGTTTATCTTTTTAAATTTAGCCTCAATACTGAACCAATCATTTATTTGTTAATGTAGCATTTTATTGGCATTTGAAATCTTATTTAACTTATTATGGATGTTTGTATCCTAGACAGGAAATGGCTAAGAGACGCACAGCAGCCTCACAAGAGAGAATGCGCATTATTTCACAACTTGCTAGACGAGAGAAGAAAGATGACAACTTTGGTATGAGGGATGAAGACTGGGATGTATATAAGGCTATTAACAAGGTTTGGATAATTATGAATTACTGCAGATGCTTATAAAATTTATTATGTTTTATATTTTCCTTCTTTTTATTGTTAAATACAAATTAAAGAAAATTGGCAACCAGACCACTACACAGTGGAAGGATCATCTCAAGCTTTCCTTCCTATCTACATTTGCTCTCATTCTGAGCACTACATGTAACCAGTCTAATATCAGTTCATTATTTTGTTTCCCCCCCTCTGCATAAATCCAAATTTTACTAGTATACTGTTGTGAAAGTACGAATTGTGAAGGTGGGGCAGTGTAAGTTTCAAGCTGTGTCATTCAGTAAGGGGACACATGATGTAACCACTGGACAAGGTGAGTGTACAAAAGACTGAAAACTTCTGGAAGTAAACTAGGTGCCATCAGAGTTGTGGGAAGATTATCACAACATGCAATCCATTTAAGCTGGCAAAGATAAGGACTAAAGGTAGAATAAAGTGATGTAACACTAGCCACAAGTGATAAAGGAAATAAGTAATACAGTTTGTGGCTCTGAAGTTTGTAATGATTCGTCCACTGTGTTGTTTTGACTGCAATTTTCTTTGATGTGTCAAAAGGCATTTGTAATATTTTATGTTTTTTTTAAATGTTATGCTTTTTTTTTTATGTTGCATCAATTTTAAGATGGGATATAAATAATAAAAAGGCACAATACTGTAACTAGAACAATATACAAATAACCTGCACATAAGAGAATCTACTAGTGTGACTAGTTAATTAACTAGTGTGACTAGTTAGTGGTCCAAGTTGGACCAAAACGATGTCATAAGTTTTATTCTCCTATGTGTGGGTTATTTGGTATTTATGCTGTTATTGTCACCCCTTTTTTTCATGACACTTCTTAAGAAACACTACCAAATAGGTAATCATATTAATGTTATTTTTGCAGTACTTTTTCTCCTATAACTCTGACATCCCAAGAAAAAGATGACAACAGTATTTGTGAAACAAATGCTGTTGTCATTTTTTTTCTTTCTATCAAGCATTTGCAACAGTATTTATTGAAATGAAGCATTGAGTGGCACATGCATGGTATTTGTTAAGTTAATGGTGGAATTAACTAGTTAAATGACAGTTATATAAAATGAAGGGGGGGGGGAATTCCATTATTATTATATCAGAACTTCTGCTCTTCAGGAAAAATTATGCAATTTATGTTTTAGAGTATTTTAAGAAAAAACAAACAGGAAGTAAAATGTTGTTAATAGTATGTACCTTCCTAGGAAGGTGGAGGATCAGACAGTGAAGAAGAAAACGAAAAGCTACAGGAGCTGGAGTCCGCCTTACGACAACACAGTCCTGAGTTCTTAGGTGACACCACTGCCAGTAAACCCACTTCACTTGCTGAGAATTACCAGATTCAGCTCTCAACAGAACAGGTCAGAAATACAGCCTTTCCTCACTTAGTGACGTACTTGTTTA